TAATAATAATAATAATAATAATAATAATAATAATAATAATAATAATAATAATAATAATAATAATAATAATAATAATAATAATAATAGCAAGGCATTGCTACTTCATCACAATGTGAGGAGTAATTTTAAGAATTGTTCAGAATTTTGAACACCAATAGATATTTAACACAATTTTTAGATTGTATATGCTCTATTTAATACTTTTTTTTTGATCCAAACAAAAAGTTAAAGACAAAGAAGTGCACAGAACAGTGTAGCAGCTTCTCCGTGGTGTTGCAGTCAGGATTATGTTGTATTTGACCACAGGAGCAGCAATTTGAGGTTGAAATAACAATTTATTTATTTTTTTGGGCTGACTGGTGGCTGAAATCAAACAAGAAAACTAGCAGGAGGAATGAGATGAAGCATAAGGAAACTTTTTCTGTCCCAGAGGCACAGTTCAACCAGATCCAGGAGAGTTGTCAGCTGTCAGAAGAAAAGTTTAAAGAGGAGTGTTGGATATGAAGACAAATTCTGCTGTTTTCATCCAGGCCTGGAGAGGCTGCAGTGTTCACAACGCTTTACAGAATAAGGACTAACGCAAGAAAGGCAGAAAGGACAACAGAAAAAAGAGCAAATAAGGCACTTGAGCCTGAGTTAATGTTATTATGTGAGTGCAATTACTATTCTTGTGAAATTCCCTGTAAATCTACTTTATTAGAGACACCTGCTTGTTCATTGATATTCAGGGATGTGTGTTGAGCCCCCTCCTGTTTACTCTGCTCACATATGATTGTGCAGCTACCCATCCAGGCTGTCACATTGTAAAGTTTGCAGATGATACAGCGGTGGTGGGATGCATCACAAACAATGATGAGTCCAGCTACAGGCAGGAGGTGGAACACCTGGAGAGCTGGTGCAGAGAGAATAACCTTCACATCAATGTGAAGAAGACAAAGGAGATGATTGTGGACTTCAGAAGGAACAAAAACACCTACACCCCCCTGAACATAAGAGGATCTGCGGTGGAAGTGGTCTCCAGCTACAAGTACTTGGGTGTACACATGAATGACAACCTCAGCTGGAGCAACAACACCACCAGCCTGATCAAGAAAGCTCATCAGAGACTCTACTTCCTCAGACGGCTGAGGCGAGCTGGTCTGGGAAGCTCAGTCCTCACCTCCTTCTACAGGTGTGCAGTGGAGAGCATCCTGTGCTCGAGCATCAATGTGTGGCATGGAGGCTGCACAGCTGCAGAAAGAAAAGCTTTGCAGAGAGTGGTGAAGGCTGCACAGAAATCTGCTGGAGTCAGTCTCCCCACCATCACAGACATCTACACCTCCAGATGCAGGAAGAGGGCCACCTGCATCATGAAGGACCCCACCCACCCAGCACACACACTTTTTGCCCCACTCCCCTCAGGAAGGAGGTTAAGGAGCATTAAGTGTAGAACCACTAGACTGAGGAACAGCTTCTACCCTGAGGCTGTTAGACTCATGAATCTCTAACTAGAATAATCACTGTGAAAAACCATATCATGTTGCTGCTGATCTGTTTCATGTTGCTGCTGATCTGTTTCAATGTTGATGTGTTCATGCGTGCACATCTGCTCACAGACTCATGTTCATGTTTGTGGTGATGTTCAATGTTTTATGTTATGAGTGCTTAGTGTATATTTAGTTGATGTTTTTCTTAGTTCATATCTTAGATGTTATTACTGTTTTTCTTATACATTTTATTGTTGGATGTAACTGGGACCCTGTGTACATAATTTCGCTCCACCACATGTACCACATGAGGTGCGAATGACAATAAAGAAACTCTGACTCTGACTCTGACTCTGACTCATTGACTTGTTGGGTTGTTTCCATGCATGTCCACAAGGGGGCAGTGCAGCTCCCTTCATCAGTTTAATCCTCCAGTGTTTTCAGCACAAACTGGGTCTAAATCATCTGCTGTAATTTTGTGAATTCATCCACAGCAAATTGAAACCAATCTAATTAACATTTATAGCTAACCAGCAGCAAATTTCAAACTCTGATACAATGAGTGCTACTCTGATAGTCAGGCAGTCATTATGTTTATTAGGCTATAATTATAAATATTGTTCTCTCATTAAATGCAGCAGATCTATTGAGCTAATGGCAGTCAGGATTTATCACATGGGGTCACATTTCTCTAACTTGGATAACTGCATGAATAAGCAGGTGTGATGTGTTATATCACATCGTTTTGCTCCACTAACTTTTTTTAGACTTGTTTTAAAATAATCTCTTGAATTTTGCACTCTCAATTTTTAATAAAAGTTTAAGAGTAGAAAGTTACCATACTAGGTGAGTACATTTAAGTACAATCTGGATGGTTTCTTTAATAGCAGTGTTTTTGTTTATTTTATTTTTTTACTTAAACCACGTCTTGTGAAAAGATTCTCATTTTTGTGTTTATATATTTATTTTTTAAGCTCCGAGTTTCTCTTCCTGAATGTTCATCTGTAAATTTACAAAATCCTGTTCACACACAAGCAAAATTTAATCAAATTAAACTAAATTGGACAAATATCTATGACAAAGTTCATGCGTTTCTATTTTAATGAGGGGCCGGTTCAAATCAGAGGTCGTAATTTGTGTAAAAAAAACAAAACTGAAAGTGAACAGAGGTGAGCTGACAATCAAAGATGTTGATTTGAGGAAGGAAACTTTAAGGAAGATGCTCTCCAACGTCAAGAGAGCAGAGGAAAAAGACATAACAGTCTGTACAAAATAAAACAGGAAGAGAGTTTTGTAAAGACCAAACAAAATTAAAACTAAACCAGTTTCAGTCGAAACAAAAACACAAATACAAGCACTGAAATATTGATTTACTTATTACAAAAGTGAGTGTCTGAGGGTGGAGCAACATTATTAAAATGTAAATTTACAAGAAACATTTTAACATATTTAAATACAGTTCAAACATATCTGCATATTAAGACATATTGATTTAAATCAATTTTTATCTTTTTTGTCGGAGAAAAATCGAACAGTTCTGTTCAGAAAATGATGTACTGAA